CAGAAGCGACTAAAAGGTTGGATTGGATAGTCGCTACATTATCTTTCTATAAATTAAGAGGATTTACTGATTTACATGAGATCCTCTGTTCGTATTATCAGCCCTTCTTATGAGTTCATTTCTGTTCGGCAACATCTTTAATTACTAGAGTTAATATTTAGTTTTTAGGGATTAGGATGAAGGAAATTAAATTCCACCATGTTTTACAGTTCAGTAATAATTTGTAGAAGATTGTGAGATATGACACAAGCTTGAAAAGGGAGGTTTTATGCTTTAATATTTCTTGATTATCATCGGAAATCATTTCCCATGGATTTTTACCCATAATCATAAAAATCCAAAGAGTGGGTCAGCCTCTTTGAATATTATATTCACAATGCTTTCAGGGGAAAACACCATAATATATTCAATATTTCTGGTCATTAAACATCAGAAATGAGTCCATCAGATAATAATCAATAATATAAAAACTAATTTTCCATCAATGACTCACAACTTTGAGCTTCAGAAAGCTTCTGAACTTCACTTTGATTCTATTTTAAGCATTGATTGTTTTCTGGCTGCTATGAAACCAGCAGCGAGCAGACGCACAGCTCATTAGACGAAGTGTTGTTGGCCTCGTTCATCCTTTGAGTTTCTCGACAGATATATACAGTTTATGAGGCGACTCGGACTTAAGATCAACAATATGTCTCAGCTCAAACTCCAGCCTCTGATGAAATCACAGGACTCGTTAGATTAAGTTTCTTACAATCAGCTGAAGCTCCTTTAACTCACAGAAAAGTCCTCATTTTAAAAAAATGCCTCAGCCTGAATGTGCTGCCAGAACTTATTAAAATCAGACGCTTCTCCAAAGTTTTACTRCCATCTTCCAGAGTCTAGACATTTCCATGTTATCGTCTGGTGTGTTGCTTCTCCAGGAACAAGATTACAGCCTGTGTTAGAAATGTAAGATCAGAGTGAGGCTTTTAGGCCCAGGAGAAAAAAAAAAGAAACCATCAGCAACAACAGCAGATCTGTCTTTTTTTTCTGCCCAGAGTTAAAGCTGGCTGACTCCTCTTCCTGAGAAAAAATAAAAAATAAATTCTTTCCGCTGGATTACGCAACAAAGCTGCAGGAAGGGGAGATAATAGAAACAGTCTGATGGGAGCTACACAACATAGCACCAGTGGACCCTTCTCTGAGTCACTGCAGAACTTTGAATAAATATTTTAATAATTTATAAAAAAAAATTGCTGAGATTAACGAGCTCAGACTGCAAACAGGAAGTAAATTATCAGTCCTCTTCATTTGAGATTTATCCTCTTGGAATCGTTTATACAACGCAGTGCAGTTACACAGAAAAACGCTTCTTATTCTTACGACAAATTAAAGCTTTATAATTTTGAGATAAAAACTACACATCAGWAATTTCTACAAATCATGAATAGGACATGCCTCGTGTGTTCTTTCCTCCATGCTCATGATGCAGATAAGACAGGTTTTTGGACATCAGMACAGACTCAGAACCTTTTTTTAACGTTGATAAAAGTCTCAGCTGATGATAAAAATTAAACTGTGACTCAGATTTTGTTCATYAAAAGCTGYGTGTCTAATTACAAACAAAACAAGCTTAGAGAAGGTGAGCGGACATTTGCAGTACAGCAGGGATTATTCCGCTTCTTTAAACGAAAACCCTTGAAAGCGTTTCTTTGAGGAAGAACGCGTGGACTTTCAGCTGGCGGGATCATAGCTCGGTCTTGATCCTGTGCATCAGATCTCTCTGGTCCACCATGTCCGTCTGCTTGTTCCAGCGGTGGTACGCCAGCAGGGCTATGTTCTTCGCAGCCACCGAGCTCATCTCCATGGCGCTGCCGGCCCACTCGATGCCGTTGAGGTAGTAGAGGTTGGGGTGCAGCTCCACCGGCGGCAGGCCCGGGCTGCTGCCGTAGTGAGGGTAGGCCTGCCACTCAGTCACCTGCACCGAGTAGTACGACCTGCAAACCGGAGGTGAAGAAACAGCCAGATGTGATCATGCAAAACTCTTGCTCATTGAAGCTTTTAATCGTTGGAGCTTTTACTCCAGGTCCAATTATCAACAGAGTTATTGAATCCCTGCCGTTTGTTTTATGAATATATTTATCCCAAAAAGGACAATTTCCACGTTAAATTGTAAACATAAACTTTGCTTTCTAACTCAAAATGACAAAAAAAGCACATTTATGAAGATATTAGATTTTGGCATTTTGTGATTTTTATGATCAATAAACATGTTAGTATTTACAGTTTTTAAGTAACAAATTCTTCAACCCCAATTCCAATGAAAATGAGACATTGTGTAAAACAAATAAAAACAAGATGCTTTAATCCTTTTCAACCTATAATCAACTGAATGCACTACAAAGACAAGACAGTTAAAGTGGCATTGTGATGTAAAATAATTTTTTTGAGTTTTATATCATGTTATAAATTTCTCCTCTCATCAAAAACATGCCCAAAGCCTTGCTTTGACTCATTCATGCATGTTTGAGAAATCCTGTAGTGTCCTGAGGCAGCCAGGCAGGGGAGCAAAAACCACCGGTTGGGACTAGAACCGCCTTTTGGGACTAGCTCCGCCTCTGGGCTGTGTCTCCAAGCTGGAGAAGGGGTTATCTGCGGAATCAAAGTGGGCGTGTCACAAGAGTGGGCGTGTCAAAAGCATAAACACTGTGGGCT